TGTGTGTCCAGGGCACGAGACGTGAAGAGGAGCCCCAGTCCAGTGAGCCCTGGCTCCCTGTCTCCTGTGGGTAATGCAAAGAGCCGCACAGAGGAGACAGAGCAGGCCGGGCTGCACAGCAGGCCTACACTCCCAGTGCAGAGGAGGCTGGCCTGGGAGCAGGAGGACCGTGGGCCTGAGAGCAAGGGGGAGGAGCAAGGAGAGCACACTGGAGACCTGGGAAGACAGGAAGAGGAGCAGGCTGATGGGAACAAAAAGGGAGATGATGCCCAGGCAGGACAACAGCAGAAGGAGTATGTCAGGAGTCACTAGGATAATTATTTTGAAAGATAATAACATTGTATGCTCAGAAGTTGAGTGCCAGGCCTAAAGGGATTCTAGAAGTATCATTCTAGAATGATAGACCCTTAAGAAGCTTGCAATGCAGAAAAAAGGTCAGAATTAATATCAATACTGTATGAAATCATAACAGGCCTGTGTGCGACCAGAGATTCAACTTCATTGTCTTTCATGAATGTCTTCATTCATCTGGACTTTGTTGTTTTTTAGTTTTAGAGTAAAAACAAATTCCGGTGTCCTTTTCCTTGCAGGGTTAAGGCCACTGAGCAGCGTTCCTCCTCCAGGTCGAGCTCTGACGTGACTGCGGGATCTTCAGAGACTAGCAGTGATGGGGGAGGCCGGCTGCCCACCCCCAAGATGAAGACCTCAGGAGTGGCCCAGAGGACACACCACGACCTCACCACACCAGCCACCGGTAACCGGGGCCCTTTTCTTCAAGGCTTTGTGAACAGTTATTTTATCATCCATCCATTTTATTACTATATGATCTGGTTCAGGGTCGGGGGGGAACTGGAGCCTATCCCAGCAGGCAAAGTGTGGAAGACGGGATACACCCTGGTTGGGATGCCTATCACAGAGCATGCACAGACACAAACACAGACATGCACTCACTCACGCTAGGGCCAGTTTTCCCAGAAGCCAGTTGACCTGCCAGTATGTCTTTGGACTGTGGGAGGAAACGGGAACACCTGGAGGAAATCCATGGGAACACAGGGAAAACATGCAAACTCCACACAGATAGCACCTGCCCCATTTATTTTTCACTTTTTTGTAGTGCTACATGAAGTAAAAGACAATTGCAAGTTGTGGCTTGGTCATCACGTGTTTCATCTCTTTATGTCAAGCCAATGTATACCATTGTGATACCTAAACCTGCTATACAGAGTGTTTACTAAAGCCAAGAAGAAAGTGGCTCCAGATGCAGTCATGCTGTCTTGTCGTCCACTAGGTGGTGCTATTTTAGTTTCCCCTCCGAAGCAGAAGCCCTCCCCTCAGAGAGTGCCGAGGAAGAGTGAGCCCCCTTTGGGCAAGCCCTACTCTCCCTACAAGCACCTGGCCAGGGACTCTTCACCGCCCCAGAACCCCTCGAAGGTCAGCTCCGTATGCCCCACTCCTCGCTTTTAAACACAGGCGCATTGCCAGGGAAAAGTGTCCCATTCCTTCTGTTTCCTAACAGGGCATGAAATGCGAATGGCTGATTTGATTAGCAGGAGGAATGTTTGCGCTAACAGGGACTTTCAGAGTGCCTTTACTCTTCTGATCGATACGAAGAACTTTGGTAGCAGCAAGACTTGTGGGATACGAGATTCTTGTGTTTTTTTTTTACTTTACTTGAATAAGTAGAGCCTGTTAACAATGCACGAGACTTGAACCGCACTCTAGTGCCCAAATGTAGGCGCCTGCTCATGTGTGAACTTCTCCTAAACATGCAGTGATGCGCGGGCTCTGTTCTCTACAGGCCGAGGAGCGCTGCTCCTCACAGTCTCCTCCAGCTGCAGGACTGAAGACCACCGACCCAATACCCCTGCGAGTGGACAGCTGGCCCTCTGACTCCCCACACAAGGCCCAGACCAGCCCCACGGCTGCCAAACCCTTCCGGAAACACAGCGCCTCTCTCGCCCCAGTACCCGCGGGCCGAACCCCTGCCTGCCGTATCCAGGGTGCACTGAGGGACCCCGAGTTCCAGCACAACGGTAAGTGTGGGTTGGCAGTAGGGAAGACCAGGACAGGATGGTAGTCCTTAACGTTCACCAGCTGTTTGAGGCACACTGGAACATGTGTTGTCGTTTTTTGTTGCACTTTAAATTGTCATTTCTTTTTCTTTACACCCCTTCCCTAATTTGTAATCAGGCTTTGTCAATGAAATAGCTGTACAGTTAAAACCCTGATACCATAGAAGGCATGAGGACAGACCAGGCTTTCCTCTGATACATGCAAAACCAAACCATCAAGCTTTCTTGGTGCCGTGAGAATGTGGTGCCTACAGCACGAGTAGCATTAAACGGAGGACTGATAACACTGCAAGCTCATACAGTAGGTGCTCTGCAAGCCACAGGAATCGCTTCAGGCAGAATGTGGCCCAGCTTCCACTTATGTTCTGCTGCTTAGGGAAAGCTGGTCATAGTTAACTCAGTCCGCAATTGTTTGATACTATAGAGCTCAATATCGTTTTAAAGAAGCACCTTTAGTGGTTGAGCAGCTGAGATGTATGCTGCCCATTTTGGCTGGTGGACTCCAAGGAAGCAGCTGTTTTTTAAGATATATCAAATTAAAATTTCCTAACGTTGCAGGCTATATGACAGTAAATATGTTTCTAACAGTACAGCTCAGTTAGCTCACTCAGTTATAGATTAAGTTGAATAACAAGTCCAGAGGGTTGAATAACACATTAAAGCCACTGTATTTTTATGCCCTGAATGCAATTTTAAAAGCCATTTTCCAGCTAGCATCTAGTAGGTTGTGTTGAAGGCTCTACAGAAGACCAGGCAAGATTACAATGGTGGTCACTTTCCCTCAGTGACATTCCCTCTCAAGTGTGGAATGATTCTAAGGGGAAGACTGAGTCATACCTCCAGACATAGCGTACGAGGAAAAGAAGAAAGAAAAGGGACATTTTCTTCTTCAAGCGTGTTTTGCTTATGCATTTTTTCGTGTCTTTTTACTGAATGATCCTGGTCTCTCCCTGTGATGGTGGAAAAAGTTGACAGACGGTTTATGATGTACCGTCGGCATAAACGACAGAACTATGCCGAAACCCAAGCCGTCTCGGATCGAAGAGATTTGCTGCAAAAAAGCCTTTTCCCACACGTGCGTTTTCTTTCGCGGAGCCCTGACCTGCTGCTTTGTGAGGTCGGAAAAGCTGCAGAACGCCGGGGAAACAAAACACTTGCAAAACTGGAGAGTCTACGACAGTAAAAGGAGAACATGAGGTACTCTGAAATGGAAGTTTAACCCCAAAGTTGAGTCAGCCAGATTTACCACACGGCCTCTTACAGCACAGACTAATGACGGTATGTAGGTCACCCTTGCAGGGGCAAAGCCAGTTTAAGAAGAGGAGGCTACCTCAGCAGTTCTGATGTGCATGATATAATTTCCTTTCCACCGTAAATTCACCTTTGTGTGTGGCTGTTACCTGGCAGGCCGGGGGGAGGCCTGACGTATCGCCCCTGGAGTTCCGCTCACTGCACGGGCACTTGTGACGAGGCTTCTGCTTTTTCAGCTGCTAGTTTCCACGTCAGATACTCCTTTCGCTGGGATTTCCCAACCTGGAGGTCCCAACCTCTTTAATTCAACCTCTATTTCTCAGCACAGCCTGGACTTGAAACATGGATGACGTTTTCTTTCTGTTTTTGCTAAAGGGCTTTTGATTTATGAAGAGTTTGCACAGGTATTCTTGTCCTGCTTGATACGGAGTCTGTTGTATAGTTGGTGCTGCCGCTGTGTTTTTGTCATGAGATTTAAATTCTTTTTGTTAAGGTATAGTCTTTGCAGTATGTGTAACCTCACGTTTAAGGTGGTTCAGTAATGTGTACTGTACAAAAACACATTGGAGGGTGTCTCTTGCTTGAAGGGACTGATGAGTGAATTGTAATAATGGAAGAAGAGCATGAAGAAATAGCTGGGTCTTTCCTTTAATACAGCCGTCCATCTGGCAACAATGCAGAAAACCTGCAATTAATTTTAAAAATGATCTTGGGCTTTTGCTGCTATAATATCTTTACCAACCCAAAAAGTTTTCACTTCTTATTTCTGTTACCTGCAAATTAATCTCTTTAGTGATTTGGGGGAAATTACACTTTGCTGATATGGAGTGGTTCATTTAGTTTTATTCTGCTTTCTGTAACAGTAATGTATATTACAACATAGGCAAAAAAACTAACAGTCCACATTAGTGAGAAAATCCTTGAAGTGAAAAGTGCAGAGTTTCCAGAATGTCTTTGCCCTTTCAGGTATTATTATTGTTTGAGGTATAAAAGAGATGATCAGTCTGTAGTGTCTGAAATGCCTTTGGTCTAAGACATTCTGATGTCTGATTTTCAAGTGTATTTTTAACATATATTTTTGCTCTCAGGTAGCAAAATCATCTCATTTTGTATTTTGCTTTTCAAATACTTGTGTGAAAGCTTTACAAAGGCATTGTAGTGTTAATCTGGCCTGATTAATGAAAATACTTCTCAGTGCTGGTTTTATCAGGCGCAAGTCTTTCTCTGTCCTGCTACAATACCTGTATAAAATTATTTTGTGGGTTTTGAAAGAGGGAGTTTTTTTTTTTGGCTTCCTCCAAGCAAGAAGTACAGTAACTAGCAAAGTGCTGATTTGTTCATGAAGAGGGACTTTTAATTGTATAGCTTTACTTACTGGTATATTGCTTGTGAGCATTGAAATAGAACACTTACTGTTCTAAGTGATAAATTGCATTTTTGTATTAGTAAATGCCTTGTAATAAATAGTTGGGATTACTGAACGCGTTGTCTGTATTGCCCTGACTTCCTTTGCGTTTCTTTGAGTTTTGAACTTGCTGAGTTCAGTTCCTGAAATCCCTTGTTGAATGTAAGCTTTTTTTTTTAAGGCCAAAGTGCATAATGTCACCTCTGTGTATTCTGAGTGTGTACTCATTGAAATAAACTCAGCCCACAGAGGCTTGAAGTCATTTCTTGGAATTTGTATGACATAATGCTAAAATTTAATTTTTATATAGAACAGTGCAGTACTGGTCAGTATACTAGAAGAGTTCCTGGGTTTCCTGACTGAGACAATATATGCATAAGAGACTGACATTCTGGGATAAAACATATATTGCCATTGTTAAATATGCATTTTTTCGTTAAATATATAGTGGATTACCAAATCCACAATTAAAGATGCTTTTTTTCTAATGCTGTATTGAGCTGAATGAGAAACAAAGCCAACTAAGCTTGTTTAAGTGATCTTTTTTAAACTGAAGAAGTGTTTAATTTTTCCTTCTTATGTCACATATGATCAGCTATGTACTAGTAATTATATTATTTAATTTATGAGTGCTTTCAGGAAATTAAAGGCACTGTACAGACGTGCACACAATACACAACAGAGGCAAAATGAAAGTAAAAAAAGGGTAAAAATTGTCGTAGTGAAACCAGAAGATAAAGTGATACATTAAAGGCTTTAGTGAAAAAAAGTGAGGTTTTTAAGTGAGTTTTGACCATATACTGTAAACAGCTGCATCTTCTCTAGATCAGTAGTTCTTAACTTAAAAAAAAGCCCTTTCTTGGGTATGAGACATGACAGAAATATTTTAGAAAGTAAATCGCAACAAACAAAATTACTTCAACGGTTTTGATAAGGTGAGCCAAACATATTTTGAGAACCAAAGGGGTGAAGGAGCAGTAAAGTTTGAGAGTCACTGCGCTGGTAATTCTGTGCATTGAGCTCCATAGGTCCAAGTCCCCCAGCTAGGTCTGCGACCGATTAAGAAGATCACATACAGTAGATCGAAGGTTCAGATCTGGACTCAACACTCATGTAGTAAATCCTTAAGAATAAATTCGAGAATTAATCTATAGCTTGATTATCCATTGTCTCAGACATGAGAAGGAGAACCTTAGAGCCTAGTTTAAATTTCCCAGGGAACCAGTGCAGTTTACTGAAGACGAGAGTTACGTGCAGTTGCAGAGTACTTAGTATGTGAGTCATTTAGGGATCTCAATTTAGATCCTTAAACATCTTGAGTAAATGCAATGTTAGTCTTTACATCTTACATGTAAATATTAGAGGAACTACAGATGAGTGGATGCCATTGATCTAGATTTACCTGAATGAAAATACTGTCTGATTTGCCCCATGTACTGTAGGAATGTTGTCTGTTTTTTGTTGAACATGACTTAGAAGTGGACTTAAGCACCTAACTACATCGCATCTCTAAATAGCACTACTGTAAGTGCAAAAGTGAAATTAACAAGTATTTGTTGTTTCTGTTTTGTTTTCCAAGGTAACCTTGGAGACTTGAGGCCTGGACTCTTTGCTTTCTCGTCCAATGACTCTGATATCTCTGACAATGGTAAAGTGTTTTGCTCTGAGCAGAAACTGCACCGCCTTTTGCTGCTGGAACTGGGCTTTTCATTGTAGTCAAGTCCAGGAATGTAGTGGATAAGATGTAGTATGTTAATTGATCTCTTTATTAAAACATTGCCTCCAATCACAGTTCTGACAAATGATCTGAACTTGATTCTCAAATATGTGTCTCTTCGTTGTTTAAAAGTGAAGTTAGGGTCAGGGCTTTTTAAGGATTTTAATTAATGTGTGAAAACTTCAAAAAGTCCATCTTTTTTCTGAGCTCAAGAGATTCATGAGTTTAATTCTAGCTGCATGTGACATTTTATTGTATTGATTTCTTTCTTTGTTTTTTACTGGATCTGTTTAATGGTTTCTCTAGAATTGACAAAACCTGATATTTAACATTAAAAATGAAAACAACATGCCGCTTAAAAACTGCTGAATATCTGAGATGTCTGATATTAACAATATTTGACTTCAAAATTCAATACATTCGCAAATTAACATTAAGATAATTGGTGACAATAACCGAAAGTAGTTCTGAACAAAAATCCTACAGTAGCTTACTATAAGAATTTATATTATTTTGTTTAAACATGAAGCAGTTTCATAACTATTAAGGACATTTGACATTTAACTGGTCTTACTCCAGTTGAATTGATCATTCCGATCACTGCATCATTATATGTAATATATATTTTATTTCCAATTCTGAGGCAGTTTGATTTTGCATGTTCTTGCTTTGGGACTGAAGTTACAATGAATCCAATGTAATTCAGTTTAGTTTGACCACTTCCCTTCAGAGAAATGGTCAAGCTGTCGAGTTCTTCTATGAATTTTGTTTTTAGGGTCTGCAAAATTCCATATGGAAATCCTCTACAACTTGCAGGAGATAAACAGAATATTCTGATTGTTAATAACACGGTAGTAACTGATACTAATGTTTCATTTGAAGGTTATTTACAATGGTGAGATTGTGTACAAATAGTAAGTAAGAGTGGAGAACGGAATTTGTGATAATTGTTAGAATGTGCTACTAAGACCAAAACCAGTTGAGTGGTATACGTTACATATCACAGTAAAAACCTAAATTAATCACAAAGCAAAAACCTCTTTTTCTGTAGTCTTATTTTGGGCATAATGGAAATGCTTTTTGTAGTATTTATGTATATGACGTGTGGGAAAATTGCCTTAACAGCACCTTTTTTGCAGCACTAATCAAGCTGATGTTCTCTGTGTTCAGATGACAGGATGTCACAGATCTCCTCCCGGTCAGCAGCCTCGAGCTCCCTGGCTTCCGAGATTCTAGAACGAGCTCAGAGGAGAAAAGAGAACTTCTGGGGAAAGAGCTGATGGTCACCTACCGCGCCTCTGCGTGCTCCCTCCATTCGAAAACAGACTTATTTTTAAAATCGTGTGTATTGTTTTTTTTTAACAGATCTTTTTGAATTTGAAAACAAGTTTTTAGCATTGTGTGATTTTTACAAATTATGTATGTTATGAATTTCTGTTTTTTTTTTTAAAAATAACAATTTTGGCTTTGTTTTTTTCTGAATCGAATTTGCAGATAGGTATTAGTACACTCTGAAAGAAGTGAATTCATTGGTGAAGTTCTCCAATTGTTAAGTCTAAAGTTTCTTAAACAGTTCTTATTTTCATACAGTTTAAAAATGTGTGGGATGTACTTTCATCCTAGCAAATGGTATTTGTCTATGTATGTGGAGTACAGTATTGGAACTGTGTTTTAAAATTAATTTAATTCAGTTACACTGGTGCCAAGATGAGACTTCAAGAAATGTTGGGCAACTGTAATACAAATATTACACTTAAAATTGCAAATAAACTTTTCTTAGATGATACCAGTAACCATATGTGGGATAGCTTATTGAAAGGACACTCCTACACATGTAAATGTCTTTCTTTTATAAACAGATGGCATCTTTTTTTAAATCTAAAAGTGACAAAATACTCTTCAGATCTATTTTCATTCTGTTACATATGAGTGGAGTTTTGAATAATAATTGTGGACAAGAGTCAATAGGAAGTCCTAAAAATGTGTGGATGCTGTTTATATTTGTTCAGTGTTCTTTTCTGTGTTTAGTGTAAAATATTGTAAGGAATTAAACTTAATTTGTATAATGTGGATATACTTGAATGTTTTCACAACTAGTAAATACAAAACGTTTGTAACTTTTTCTTTACAGCTATTTGGATTCAACACAAAAGTTTCTTTCCTAGTGAAAATGAGGACACTCCTTGACTGTGTCACAGAACCTGAACAGCTTGGAGGAGGGTGAATTGTAGCATGTGTTCAGTTAAATATTTTGATGTTTACTGATCACCATGCAGGCATGCCTCCCTTTCACTTATGCTTTAAGTCAAAATTTTAGTTTGATGCTTTTTTTAAATACCAAGGACCAGCTTTTAAGAACGGTAAAAAAAGGCCAATCTTACACTGCAAAGTAAGCATATGGAAAGAACAACTTTTGGAGATATTTAGTTGGTCATATGGAAAGAACTACAGTACCAAGGAATAGGCAATATTAAAGCTGACATATTTCTTTTAGTTCATGCACATTAAATATTTTGTACACAAAGTTGTCACTAGTATTTATACACCTAGTGTTGAAATCCATATTCGCACCACAGTAGATCAATAAATGTAAAATTTAGTCATCTGATTCATTTGGGCCTTGAATATTCCTCTACAACAGGGGACACAGACTCTGGTTTTGAAGCAGGTGTTGTAGGTCTCTTTAAATCTCCAGTTTCTCAAGAGGAATGACTTCCACTTCTCCAAGGGCCATGGTTAAATGAAAACCAGAAGCATTTTGTCCCAGCAGAACTGCAGTTGTATACTCCTATTTTACAGAGTGAAAAGCACAAAAGAAAAATCTTCTATAGCCCATGTAGCGGCATGACCTGATGAGCTGGGAGAAGCTGTTAAATTGGTTCCATTAAGCCAAAAGTGATTTTATTAAGCTTTTTTAAAGGCTGAGTTGGAATGAATACCTGCCGACACACAGGTTCTCCAGAGCCAGGTTTGCTCACTGCTGACTTAGCAGCTATGACAAATTGGTTATTTGATTGTTACAGTAGATTCTGGACAGCATCAATATAGAAGAACAAGGGTTACCAGCTGCTCTTAAGGGAACTCAAATGGTGTACTCAGCAAGAAAAGCCCCCTTGAATCTCAAAACGGCAGGAGAAATTCTACAATGACCTTGGATTTACTGCAGTTTAAATAGTACAACTTGTCATTCACAAACCTAATACTCTTTAAGAGTAAATGAATCACACCAAAATTCCTTAGAAATTCAGGTTGCTGATAAAAAACACCTTCAATATCTCTTAGTGACACCTTTTCTGGAATTGAGGAGAGTTTTCTGCTTTGGGTTCGCCCTGTTTTTTTTGCCACTTCAGTCTTAATATGAATGTAATCACTGACAAACCTATGGTACATTTATCTCACTTCTACTCAAGATTAGTGTAATGTCCCTAATGTCTATCTACTAACTAACATACTGTATCTCACAGTTGAATGATTTTAATTCTAGATGTTAGGCAAGAATTACAAAATTTGAAAAGTTAATGAAGGCAAAACAATATATAAACTGTACTTTTCTGAAGTCTGGAGTTCACATAAATATAATGCATATAAGAGTTGAACACTTTTTTCAACCTCCACTTCTTCATAAATCAAATTAAAACCATTGCTGAAACTGTCTCAGCATACAGTAGTATGAAATACCACACCATATACAGTACAGGTATATATAGTAAATGTTATTTTTCCAATATGTAGTAAAAGTAATCTGTATATTTATTGCTTAGTATTACGTTTCTTTATAACAAATAAGACAGTGTCCTGGTGCTACAAGGAAAGAAATAAAAATTCAAAACTCATCTGTAGAGCTGTTGGAGTTTTTAGTGGACTGAGTTCATACTGATAATATTTTCATCCTCCCGTGTCTGAATGCGAATTAGCTTGTGTCCTCATCGAGGTTTCATATTACACTGCAGTTACAGACGACAGTGAACATTTCTGCCAAACATGAGACAATTTGGTAGTTGTGGCAAACGTTCACAGTTGCACATTAAATGCCAAAGAGTCTGTGAGAAATCAAACCAAGCAAAAACAGTTTTTTTGCTTATTCAACAAAATAAAAACTCATGAGCCTATTTTCTCCCTAACATATGCATTACAGTTTCACCACTGGGGAAAAAAGCACTTAAAAATATTCTTTTTTAAATTAACAATGGCTTATAGTGCAAGAAAGGAATGTTATAAGTACAGTAGGGTATGTGTTATAAGTTATAACTTATGCCACGTTATAAGTATGCATTCAAAACATTATTAAATTCCATGACATGTTGAGTATAACTGGTATAACTTTGTAACATGGCTTCATTTGCCTTAATTTTGTAATTTACAGTTGTTTATTACCTGTATGATTATTTTGTTATATGAAGTTACTCCACATAGACAGATTATGTTCCTTGCTTGATTTTTTAATACAATTACATTAAACAATTTTAATAAAACATCACTTGATTTAAATTCTACACTCTTAACTATATCCTAATATTTTTTGCCTTTTTAATTCCTTTCTTGCTTTGCTTAGAACTGTGATTCTTAAACTTTTTTGATGACAGAACCCTTTTCTGTCAATGATAATGTCACGGATCCCCAGCAACCTTTTTTCTTACTTTTCAGGATTAGCTATGGCGGTGTTCTCCAAAAGGCATTCCAGGACTGCTATTCAGAGGCAATTTAGTCAATAATTAATGAAGAAACGATTGCTTTTGTTTTAACTGTAAGCATTGTATGAACCCATTGAGTTTATTTCACTCATTTATAATCATATGAGGCTAGCAGCCATATCACCCTGCAACTCACAACTGGCAACCCATTGAAGCAAAGCAGGGCTGAGCCTAGTCAGTACCTGGATAAGAGAACTCCTGGGAGAACCTGTGGTTGCTACTGGAAGAGGTGTTAGTGGGACCTGCGGGTTTTTTTTAAGAGGACTGATCATTTATAATCAACATTTACTTCAAACCAGCAGAAACAGAATAATCTCAGTGGAATGAATGCGTTTGCCTCTTACTTCTACAATTTTTTTTTTATATTTGGAGTTATGGATGTGAGTTGCAGTCAGAGAGCTTTCTCTGATAATACTGGATATTCGTTTTTGGAGCTGCACCAAAAACTGCCAACTGCGCTTCATTAAAAGCTGATTGTAAGGAAGAGTCTGAAATCAGGTCAATGAACTTCTCATATTCTTGTGACGTGAAGCTAGAAGTTTTTTTTTATTGTTTTTCACATTTTTTTCCTCTCGTGGTTGCAGTAATTTCTAAGCGATCTAAACCGCTTTTTTCTCTCATTGCGAATGTTTTTTAGATTTGCCGGAAAGCGAAATGGCGAACATTTTATCTCCAAACAAGATAGAAGAGCAGATGGAAGTGGGAATTTCATCCGACACCTTTGAGGTACCTTCTGGCTCTGGCAGCGAAAGTACAGAAATTTATTCAGAGAGTGAATTTGAAGAAGACTTCTTGGAGCCACGCAAAGCCATCGTAACACATTTGTTATTGATAACAAATCATGATTTTTCTTGTAGCCTATGTAAGCGCTCACGGAACCCCTGCGGACGTCCCGGGCGGAACAGTTTGAGAACCACTGATTTAGAAGACGTAAATGATGCATCAACATAAGCACTTATGTCTTTTGTATTAATAAAACTTTTCTATCTCAGCGTTTCTCATTTTGAAGCATGTGTACTGTAGGCTGTAAAGGTTTATTCCTGAAAAGAGAAGAAAAGAAACAACGTTTCAGCTGTAGAGCCTTTTTTAAGTGTCAGGTGTCACCACAGCCGAAATATTGTTTCTTTTCTTTTCACCATGGAATAAACATTTACTTGCTTCTCATTTTGTATTTATACTTTATCCTTTTGCTAAATGCTTGCAAAATCTGTGCTTGTCTACATTAAACTACATTAAACTACATTAAACATCTGCCAAGAGTGCCCAGTATTGAATTTTAACGAACTTTTTAATTTAATTTTCTGCTTATACAGCTTGCAAATCCTCCTGATGTGGTATCATTTGAAAACATGACTAGTCTTAGTACAGATTAGTCTACTCTACTCCACTAATTAAATCACTCCAATTTCACCTCTTATCTGTTTTCTGGTTTAAATTTAATAGTCCACTCTCAATCAAAACAATTGCATTTCCCTGATTTCCTGCCTCCTGCACTTGGGGAATTAATCATTTAAGAGGAACTTTATCAAAAGCCTTCACAAAATCTAAATACTATATATCTTATGCCGTATGTTTATACATTGTTGTTGCTTGTTCAGAGAAATCAGTCAGTTAGGTAATATAGTATCTACATTTCTTAAATCAATGCTAACTATTCCCTACTATATAATCCATATACTGTAGGTGATCCTGTAACTCAGTTCTTTT